GAGGGAGGCAGCATGTCTGGCCTTGCAGTAATAGGCCTTGTGCTATTGATGGTGATTCTGCCTTCCTCTTGTGGGATTACAGGAGGTCATAACATGTGGCCTCCTTGCCCTTTTTGCAGGTTTTTAAAGGGCATTGGGCTAAGGGGTAGGAGGGTTTGACGAATGCTGATGATGCGTTCTTCTTGTTTTGGGGATGAGTTGTTGTTGCCTTGGGACCTCTCTGCTCTTCTTCTGGTCAGTGATAAAAAGCTGTTCTTGGTCAGGAGAGAGTGTCCTTCAAGTTCTTCACACCTGCCTAGAAAGGTTAACTCTACAAAGTGGGAAGAGTGTGGGAGTGGGCACCCTCAGGCCTCTGGTCCCCCAGCGATGTCTCTGTTTCTCCTTTATCTTTATCTTGGCTGCTCCCTGCTCCTTTCTTAGGGTCATCTCATTCCATAAACTGCAATTATCAGCTGCAAACGGGCAGTGGGTTTCAACGAGATGCCCAAAGGAACATGTGAGGAGAAGAACAACCTAAAGCAACTATTCTATTTATGTAGAGGGAAGTAGGGATGAAAGAAAAAATGGAGTTAGTCATTGTGGTTAGTATCTGCTCTAACCATGGCCCTTAGTTGGTTACATTTCTGCAGTTCTTTAGAGAAAAGTCTCCCCTGGTCCTTCCACACTTTGACTGCTTTGTAGTTCTGCTTCTGGGCTGCCCCAGTTCTCTAGTGCTGCTGTAACAGAAATGTGAATAACGTATATTGAAATATAGATACAGAAATTTGTTTGCTCACAGTTTGTTGTTGTTGTTGTTAGGTGCTGTGGAATCTGCTCTGACCCTGTGGACAACAGAACCAGACACTGCCCAGTCTCGCGCCAGCCTCACTATCCTTGCTGTACCCGAGCCCATTGTTGCAGCCACTGTGTCAGTCCATCTCATTGAGGGCCTTCCCCTTTTTTGCTGACCCTCCCCTTTACCAAGCATGATATCCTTCTCCAGGGAATGGTCCCTTCTGACAACATGAC